TTCCTTTTTAATTCCTCTTTCGATTATATGTTTGTTTTTTTTTTTAGTTTTCGTTTTCTTTTTGCTTCTTAATGTCACTTCTATATTAGTAATACTTTCTTGTACTCTTAGTAAAGAAAGAAAGATTGAAAGGATTAGTTCTTGACAGGCTGACAAGATCTCCTGACGCGTATGTGAGTCAATGTGACAAGTTGCATCTAGGCATAGTATTTGTAGCCAGGTGATGCCAGGCTTGTAATTGCAAAAGACATTTACTAGAAATAGGTTTTGTTTCTAAGACAGATTTCACCATATAAATATTTGTATTGTAGCACTAACAAGACTGTCAAAGAATAAAAAAAAAAAAAAAAAAAAAAATATATATATATATATATTTATTTTGATAAGATGATTCTAATAATTCCAAGATTGTTAAAATCCAATTACAGAATCTCAAAAACATTCAAGTTTTATGCAATTTTAATAGTACTTTTTAGAATTACTATATAAATGCCTTTAATGTCAAATAACTTTTAATTTACTAATCTGTTTTGGGTAATTTAGCCACCAAAATAATCATCTCAATGAGATGATTCTAACAAGCCCAAATTATTTAATCCTAATCACAAAATCCTGAGATCATTAAGAATCAGTATAATGTAGACAATCAACTAAGAAATGGGTTTTTATATATGAAACTCATTTCTCAGTTGATTGTCTATATCGTACTAATTCTTAACGATCTCAGGGTCCTGTGATCAGGGTTAAATGATTTTGGGCTTGTTAGAATCAGCTAAATCACCCAAAACGGATTAGTAGATCAAAAGTTATTCGACATTAAAGGCATTTACATAGTAATTCTAAAAAGTATTATTAAAATTGCACAAAACTTGAATGTTCTTGGGATCCTGTAATTGGATTTTAACGATCTTGGGATCGTTAGAATCGTCTCACCGAAACGAACAATTTGGTAGCTAAACTATCCTAATCGGGCTGGTAGATTAAAGGATATTGGCAATTCCGTGAATCGGCCCATATGCTAAAAATATTCAAATACAATAAAAATAATTGGATGTTAAACAAAATCATATTTTAATATTATTATTAATAACATTTTATTAATAATATTTTTAATAATATTAATTTTATTTATTTATTTTTTTTTTTAATGCAAATTTTAATTATAATATTTTTTTATAATAACAAAAAACTAATATGTAATATGTCAAATGTCTTTTTATCGTTAATTACATGTAAAATGTTTTTATTCGTTAATTATACAGTAACGTCCAACAAAAAAGAATTACTAATATAATAATGTCAAAATTTTCGGCAATACTTGATTAAATATATCATCTTGAGATATACATTTATTCACCCAAAATACCTTCTTTTGCTGCTCGCCAAGCCTCAGCTGAAATTTGATACAACTCTTCTTCAAGAGCATTAAACCGCTCAACTAAATTGAAGACTTCACTCCCATTCCCGAACGTTTCCATAATCCTATTTATAATAGGTTTTTCACGGGATTGCCTGGCACTGCGGAGACTAGGATACAATTCTTCATACAATGGGATCCAGTTTGTTAACTTCAAGTTTATCTCATTATATTCATCTTGCTTAGCATTAAACTCGTCAATGAGATCTCGAAATTCAGTTAAAGTATTGACTCGGTATTTACTTTGTTTGATTTCGTTATTAATGCCATTTACTAACGTATGACCATTGACCTCAGTAGTTTCTTGCTTTTCTTGCTTAGATGGTTCAATATTTGATAATGCTATTGTGCCTTTTAAAGTTGAAGTCTTATTAGAAGTTTTCGAGCCAAGTGGCCTTCCTCTTTTGGCTCGAGTAGTCGTTTGATTTGAATGACCTGTAGTTGGTTCAGCTGTTATGGAAGCGGTTGTAGTTGCTGTTGTCTTGTTACCACGACCTCGAATAGATTTGGCACCTCGAGTTGATAGAACACTTTTAGCATCATATTCTATATCATCATCATGTTTTTGTAAACTAGTCAGAGTTTTAGCGCCCCGTCCCTTTGTACTTTTCCCACCTCGAGTAGTTTTGGCACCCCTAATAGTTCCAGGAAGCAAAACATCGTTGCTTTGCTGAATTTCTGAATATGATCCTGACCCAATTTTGAGACGTTTTCTAGATGAAGACTCTCCAACATCAATATTCGTAGAATGATTGGGGGGGAGTGTGTGCTTGGGTGGACGAGGCCGTTGAGGCGCATCTGGAGATAAACCCATTTCGTCTGCGACTTCGTTCATTTTTTGAACAACACCACTAACCACTTTTTGCCCATAACTAAACCAAGTGTATGGTTCAAGCATCAACCAGGCGTTATTCGTAAGCTTCCAAGTTCCCTTTTTTGTCAATTCCGCAACCTACAATAACAATTCAATAAATAACTCAGTTTGAACTAAAAAACCAATTATAAATGCAATTAATATGCGTGAAGTAATTACCTCATCCAATACTTTTTGCACATTTTCTTTATTATCTTTAACTTTCTTTACAATCTGATCGGTGTTTAATAGATCAGGAGTTAATTCGGTGGCTGCAATTAGATGAACAACTCTCTTCCTAAGTGGAACACCTGACGTATCATCGTTTGAAATAAACGATGATGAAGCTGGTACACAATATGACATGCCCGGCTCTTTTCGTTTGGGACGATTGGTTTTTGTGCTTTTCGATTTCACCACATCAGGATCTGGTAGTGGATCTATCACTTGTATTCTGGAAAGTTAACCCGATAAATTTATTAAATAAAATAATATTATTCATTGAAACAAACGTAAGTATTATGTAATTACAATCACCTTCT